CCAGGATGGTCTCGATCTCCTGACCTCGTGATCCACCCGCCTCGGCCTCCCAAAGTGCTGGGATTACAGGCTTGAGCCACCGCGCCCGGCCTCTTAATTTTTTATATTTTTAGTAGAGACAGGGTTTCAGCGTGTTGGCCAGGCTGGTCTCGAATTCCTTCCTTCAGGTGACCTGCCTGACTCAGTCTCCCAAAGTGCTGGGATTACAGGCATGACTCACCATGCCTAGCCAACGATTCTAATTTATATTTTAAAAAATTACCCTATGATCTTAAAACTTTTAACTGATTAGTATCCAACCCTTAAACTTCATAATAATTATTTCCAAAGTGGAAAAGTCACTGGGATATGGGGACAAGTATGATTTGTATTTATACTTCCATTTTTCTAATGTCTACTTTTTATTTTCTAGTATACATGTTAGCACAGGAGTATATATATTACTTAAGCATGCCTATGTTGGGGTGAATACATAATTTATTTTTAAATGATAGGATGCAAAATCAAATCTATTTGGATAGCAGTGAAGAGGCTATTTCTCAATCCTGGCAAACTAGGGGGTACACTCCCCCTTCTTTTATTCAGTAGCTTCCAAAAGGATGTAACTTATGGAAGTTATATCCTTCCATAAACTGATAGGCTATCCAACCAGTGAGGAAAACTGATAAAGTGGCCTCTGAGCTCCAGGTAGCAGTTAAACACGACTAAAAATATCTTGAAAGTTTGGAAAAAAATTTAACAGTAAATGGATTCAGTAGTTATTCAGTGTAAGGTTTGGAATTCAAAAACTCCAGCCATTACAATAGACATTTATTTAAAGTAAAACATCTGCAGACCAAATAATTCTTAAAATTGTTTGTTTCAAGTATAACCATCTTCATAACAGCTGCATTCACAGACTTCAACTACATGATTACTTCTTTGCCCATTCTTCTCTTTCTTTTCTTTCCCGAATAACCTCTTTCAGATACGGTTCAAGGTAGAAATTTTCCTAAAGAATGAATGAAATATTATATGTTACCATCGCGTACTGATATATCCCAAACACTCAACAGGTCTTCGATAACAAGAAAAAAAAAAATTACTTTTTAATTTCCAATTTTAGAAAACATATTCTCAACCTAAGAACTATCTGCTTTTTAAAATGTCAAATCTGTGGTGATAATGTGGTAAGTTGCTTTGATAGGTTATGAGAGGGAAGTCTTTTTGGGAAGAAAAAGAAATGAGTGTCTACAGGCCTTTGCCCAGTTTCAATGCAGTTCAAGGGGTGAGAGTTTGCTTCACAGAAGCTCTTCTTGGGATCTGGAGGGCCACTCAATGGGCTGATCTTTTCATCTAAGTAGGAAGCAGAGTGCAGAGGTAGAACAACAATGACCTGGGTGGCAACAGACCTGGATTTTAGTCCTGGCTCTCTATATTAGAGACTTGCTTAGTGATTTCAGAAGAATCATTTCACATGTAAGAGTCAATGTGGTTTTCTTCTAAAACGGAAATAACATTTGCTTTATTAACCTCACCAAACTATTGACAGAATATTTATTTGACATGACTCAGAAAACTCTAACACCACGCAAATGAACATGTTTCTCGTTTCTAAAACTCAATCCTTAATGAGCAATATTGTCAGGTAGATAAAGCTGTGCTACCTCTTCATATTTGGTCCACTGCTCTTTAGGCAAGATCTGATGCTTCAGGTTCAGGTCCAGTGCCCTCTTAATTCGAAACATCCTGCCATTATAAAGGTTCTCAGGAAGCCTTCTTACGGCTTCTTTTACGTCTTCATCCTCATATATTGTATCATCTCGCAATAACCCTATGACAGACGACAAAGTTAGATAGCACATGCATCTCAAAAATCACGTTTTTTTAAAATTAGTAAAGTATCTTTATGACTTATAACTTACAACTTTTGGTGAACTATCGAATTCAAATCACTAGGTTCAATGGAAATTCAATGCACTTCATACATTAGGTTGGTGCAAAAGTAATTGCGGTTTTGTCATTAAAAGTAATGAATTATTACTTGATATAATGGGTTATTTCTTGAACTAGACTATGGAAACAATATATGAGCCTCTTAAAATCCAATGCCACAAAATTCATATTTTATCTAAACCATTTACAAAATATTTTAAATGTTTACTTTGTTTTTAAACACACATTAATAAACCACATCTCTACTTTCTCATAGTTTAAATCTGAGATCAAGGTATTAATGAATCTTAAAATAATAGTATACTAAGGAACCAGTGACTTTTGCTTACACTTTCTTCAAGCTTCAATAGCAAAAGATGAAGTTCATGGCAAATTACCAAGTTCTAAAAAAGCTTAGGAAACATATGATCGCATGGATATGATAAAATTTTAATATTTGAAAAATCTCTACTTTCAGTGTTTATAAAACTTAAAATTTTAAGTGGAATGCTGGGCGCACTGGCGCATACCTGTAATCCCAGCACTTTGGAAGGCAGAGGCAGGTGGATCACCTGAGGTCAGGAGCTCGCCACCAGCCTAACATGGTGAAACCCTGTCTCTACTACATACAAAAAAAATTAGCCAGGCATGGTGGCACACGCCTGTAATCCCACCTACTCAGGAGGCTGAGGCAGGAGAATCACTTGAGCCCGGGAGGCGGAGGTTGCAGTGAACTGAGATTGCGCCACTGCACTCCAGCCTGCTGACAGAGCAAGACTCTGTCTCAAATAAATAAATAAAATTTTAAGTGGTAGAGTTGGGAGAAGGGGTGTAGAAGGAAAATGTCGTACTACTTAAATCATTACGAAGTCAAACATTTTAGAGGCTTTCATCCCTCTCCTCTCAAAAAAATTTTAAAAAGGAACTGGATTTAACATAATGTGATTTAATTTTAAAATCTTCTGATGTATACAAGAACTGAAATATTTTTTGGAACCACAGTAACACTTGTAAAAGCAATACTCTCAGAAAAAAAAGAAAAATTAAAAAGCACAGATGCTTACCCAGTTTATTGAATCCTGCAGCATTGTAATACCATTTTCGAATACCATCCAGCCACTTGCCTGATGCTGAAACTGATCATTGTCACACTGTTAGTTGCTACAATTATACTATATGAACACACTGATGGGCAAGCAACCAGTACTCAGTTATCTTGCTGATGAATGCAAACATAGAAAGAAATTTCCTTTTAAAAGTATATACTATATACAGCAAGAATTTAATCAAAAAAGAATTAGATTTAAAAGAAAAAAGTTTATAAACTGTTGATAAAAATTGCTTATTTTATTTATGAGCAAAAGTGGCTGCAGGAAAATGGTGGCAAGTCATGGAAGAAGAGGGTAAACTCAAACACTGAATGTACAAAAGATCCATAGGTACATCGTGTGCCCTTATGCCTGCCCTGTTACCTTCAGAAATGAAGGGGTGAGAGATAGTAAAAGGACTTGGAAATTTCTATCATTTGTAGTTTCATAGATCACAGGAAATAATTGTAAACTTTTCATTTCAAAGGAGCTGGAGTTGTATGAAAAGAGAGTGAGATTTCAGCATAGGCTGGCAGGTCTAAATGACCCTCATCCTGTAAAAATTTTACTCGACATTACAGTTATTTCATTTGGCTACATTCTTTAAAAATATATGTATTTTGGGGAGGATTTTGATACCATTAGTCATTTAAACATTAATATGGATTAGTAAAAGAAGTCCATTTACCTCCTCCTAAGCAACTAAGTTCCCCCCAAGGGAACAGATATTGAAAACGGATGAGAAATGGGTAATTTTAAAATTCTTTGGGGAACAGGGCTGAGTCTGATGAAGTAACCCAGCAGGGTCCAAGTACAGCAGGACCGTACCTGACATTTTAGGAGAGACGTTTTACAAAAGGGGAGGTAGAACAAGTTTACATTTTCCTTTAAAATTTTGTCTAGCGTTAGCCCCTTACCAAGGAAGGAAAGCAAACTCTCCTTTCACTCAGCCCTCCTTGCCTGCAAACTCAGTGCACTACAGATTACGTGGCTTCAACACATCTCCTTGGAAATGAAGTCATGTATAAAACTGCTGCTAGAAAAACAAGTATCAGTCAACAATCTACAAACATACTTGTGGAAGACAGATTATTTTTAACCACCTATCAGTGACTAGAATAATATTCACTAAACACTTATTGTGCACCAAACACTTTCCTATTTGCTTTACCAACATTAGCTGATTTATTTACATGCCTCTTACTACAGCAAGGGAAGCAGACTTACAGAAGTGATCCCACCCAAGGTCAGAGTTAGCTAATGGGAGTTGAGATCTGGTCTATGTAGTTCCCAAACACGCACAGAATCAGTGTCTTGAATTTAGTAAGACTCCTTCAATATCTGCTAAATTAATAAAATAATTATTTAAAAAGTCTCCCCCACCCCCAAAAAGCTCAATGTCAATTAGGTTAGCGGATGTTTCTGGCAACCTGATGTTTCCTAACAGCTTCACAATTGCTGGGGTCAGGGAGAAAAGGATCAATATTTTTTAAAAGCTACTCCAACTTGGTTGCATTGCAGTGAGACGAGATTGTGCCACTGCACTCCAGCCTGGGCGACAAAGCAAGACTCCGTCTCAAAAAAAAAAAAAAAAAAAAAAAGATACTTCAACTTGTACCGCCAGAGGGCAGAGATTAGCAAAAAAACAAAACAAAACAAAAAAACAAGGAAACCCAACTTAATGTTCAAGTTGTTTTAAATATTCCAGTAATATCTGCATTCTATTCCACAATAAATTTGTTTGAACCTACAATAAATTCAAATTTCTCCAAATCTACTGATCAAGCTGACGTTCTAGATAATCCAAGGTTAATGTGAAGCGTCGCTCGTATCCCTTGCTAGACTGTCTCTGATTCACAGTTTGAGAAGCGCGAGGGGTGCAATGAAATTTCCAATTCTACTTCCTTGGGTCACTTTGCCTCAGTTGTCTTATCAGCGTAAACGGGAAATTAATATCTCCCTCGTGGCACTGGCAGGAGAATTTATAGGGCCAATGCACACGATAGAGCACCTGGGTCATAGAAGAAAGCACTGAGCTCATTCTGGTTGAAAGTCATCCACTAGTTATCTTCTTGTGACCTTTAACTTTTCTAAGGCCGAGGGGAAGGACTTCCGAGCACAGGCAGCTGGAACTCCAGGGCTGTTAGAGCCACCGCGGGCACCTTCACAAACAGCGGGTTAACACCCCAACCCTATATAGGCAAGCCCGGCCTGGGAACAACAAACGAGTGGGGAAGCACGTCCTTTTGGCTGGACTGAAGCCGCCACTTTCCCTTCCGCGACAAACTTGGTCACTTACAAAGAAGAGAGAAAACGGAGCGAGCTGCAGCGAAAATAAACGGTGGAGCGCGACGATGCCCGCCAAGAAGACCCCTCAGTCACTTACCCGCCTGCTTGCCAGCCATTTTGACCAGAAAATGAAACGTTGCCTTCTGGGTAAGTCATAGAGGACACGCTGGGCCCAGTCCGCAGGCGCGTTACGCCACTTCGCGAACCGAGAAACGCCGCTTGCGCAGGCGCAGTTCTGACGGCTGTGGTTGAGCTCTTGCGTGTGCGCTTCTCGGCCAGGGTGAGGCCAATGGAGTAGGCGGGGAATTTTGCGTGCTACATTCCAAGAAGTATTGGTTGTGATGTGATGGGAAGAACACAGGTCAGGAATTAGGAGACCGAGGCTTAAAGCTGGGTTCTGTTACTTGCTGTTAATAGCTATGAGAGCGTGGGCAGTATGAATTCAGCTCTTTGTGCCAGGCAGAAAGCTAAATGTTTTAAGAGCATCGTTTTATTTTCTATTGAAGGACTGATGGATGCGCCATCCCAAAAATATATGGAATTGGTACACTGATTATTTCGAGTTGAAAATGTTGGAGAAATTGTAGTTTCAGAAAGGGTTTGATGACCCATCTCTTCCTGCATGCAGCAAGCCGTAAAGTTTCCTCCAGGATTCCTCCGGAGTACCCGTCCCTTACCAGAGGGAGAAAATAGCACCCATCACCAGAGACTGGAAACTGGGAGCTGCTTTGGACGTGAATATACTTTCCGAAATAACCCTTATCTTCCACTAAGTTTACACCCCACCACACCCACGTTTCTCCTAATGACTCCGCAAGAAATTCACTGCCCCTAGCCAGATCCCCTTTCTTCTGATTTGTAGTTCGTGTAAAAAGTATAAAGGCATCTTACATTGGCCACTTCACTCTCTTGTGAGGATCCCCATGCACATGTAAAACTAGTAAAATTAGTATGCTTTTCTCTTGTTAATCTGCCTTGTGTCAATTTGGTTCCTAGATCCAACCAAAGAGCCCACATAAGAGCAAAGGCCTGATCTCTCACTCCCCTACACTGTCATTTAATTCTAAAAGTACTGTCATTATCTCATTGTAGATAGGAGAAAGCTGAAGCTCAGAAAGGTTGAATAACTTGTCCAAGAGGACATGACTAGAAGAGTCCAGGTTCTTCTTCCAGAATCTGAAAATCCAGACGCAAACCTGGGGCTCCTTAATTCTAGGGCCATATGCTACACTACTAATCCAGGAAAGACACCAAGCCTTTCAGGCCTTGGGTTTCTCCAGCTGAAGATCTACATCTAGCTATTTTAGTGGAAGGTTAGGTCAGAAAAGGTTTTGGGTTTTTCGTTTGTTTGGTTGGTTGGTTTTTTTTTTTTTTTTTTTTTGGTCACCTCTTTTTTTGTTGTTCAGCCTCTATCACCCAGGCTGAATGGCACAGTCTTGGCTCACTGCAACTTCTGCCTCCAGGGTTCAAACGATTCGTGCCTCAGCCTCCTGAGTAGCTGAGACTACAGGTGTACATGCCACCATGCTCGCTAATTTTTGTATTTTTAGTAGAGACAGGGTTTCACCGTGTTGGCCAGGCTGGTATCAAACTCTTGACCTCAAGTGATGCACCCACGTCGGCCTCCCAAAATACTGGATTACAGGCGTGAGCCATCACGCCCAGAAGAAAAGGTTTTTAAAGATTAAATCTAAGATGTATTGCAGAATTTGCACATAATTTAAAGACAAAAGAGAAGTATATAGATTTGCTAATTTTTAAGGTCTCAGCCTCAACATGTGAAGTCTTAGGCATAAACATCTAGAGACAGAAAACAATTGGGGGGAATTGGCATGACTGATAGTTACTGGTGAACTTCTACCATTACTCGGTGATATCTTTTTTCCCCTCAGTTTTAAGCTCAGAGCTGGGACAATATAGAATAGAACCTTGTCTCGTCGTAAGTTCAAAAGGTTAGATTTAATGATCTTAGTCACATTCCAGTTCTAAGATTCTATTGATTTTCCTTTTTCTTCTATCTCCATGCTGCTACAATTCTTCTATTAGTCAGTCCTGTATGCAGCACTAAAGCTGATGAATAATCTCTTCTATCTTACACTAGCCAAAGTGAAGTCTGAAAGATGTGAAGAAATGCAATACATATGTACATTGGCACATTGCCCTGCAGAGGGTAGGTACTCAATAAACTCTCCTCCCTTCTACCCTTTACGTTTTACTTGCTGGTTACAGGTGAAGGTGACAAGAAAAGACATATCAAAAGATCAGAAACCCAAAATTGTCACGAAATCCAGCTCCTAAGGAATTAAGCTAGAGACTGAATGTTTGCTGGTAGTCATTAATGTTGATTCAAAAACTAATTTTGGTTTTCTTTTCTCCCAGCACAGGATTAGGGATTGCCTTTCTCTGCCCTCAAAGTTAGGCATGGCCATGTGATACTTTAGCCAAGAAAAATGTGATAACTCTTTAAGAGCAATTCTTCACATTCCTTTCCTTTTCCATAGACTGGTAACACTCCAGAAATGATGGAGACAGGATACATCAACCTGTATCACTAAAGATGATGTGGAGCAGAGCCTTTGTGGTCCTAAGAGACATGTATAAGATAAAAACCTTTTGTGGTTTTTCAATCATTTGAGGTTTTAGAATTGTTCATTGTATCAGCACAACTTGCCTATTCTGACTAAGGTTGTTCAGTGGGTTATTCATAAAGGCAAAATGCGGTTGTGAGCCATACAAAGAGAGGACAGGATGGTTCCATGGTGTCCCCAGCTTATTTTTTATTGTTTCCTGTTTGTTGATCTCATCCATTGGAGAACTCCATGAAAGCACCTATCTATGTCACACTCACCACTGTATTCTAGGAACTCAAATGTCGGTTGCATGAATAAAATATGTAACAGGAAAGCCACTATACCTGGCCCTGACCAATTACAAATTTAGTTTTTCATGAGGTTTTTTGAAGGGCATCCAGCACACCACAAAACCCTCAGCACAACAAACTACCCGGAAAGTTAGTGACTTAAAACACTTTCTCCCAATTCTGAATTCAGCTGGGTTGTTCTGCTTAGTGTAGTGTCTGCTAAGGCTGGGACATCCCAGATAACTTCTTCATGCATGTCTGGTACTCAGTTGGCATGGCTGAAAAAGCTGGGGTTTGGCCAGACATCTTTCTCTCCACCTAGTTTCTCCAGCAGAGTAACCAGACCTCTCTATACCGTAGCTTAGGGTGCCAAGAGCAAAAGTTCCAAGAGGGCAAGCCCTGATGTGCAAATTCTTATCAAGCCTGTGCTTGACAAATGTCCCCTGGGCCAAATCACATTGGCCCAGAGTCAGTGTGGAAGAGGGCTAACTACACAACAGTGCAAATACCAGGTGTGGTTCATGGGGGTTACCAGTGTTAACAGTCTACCCAACCTAGTGATCACAACGCAGACAACTGAAGTTGTGATACTTCGTTTTACAAATAAAAAAGCAAAGTCTCAGAGATGAAATCACTTGCCCAGGATAACACGTCATAAACAGAAAACAAATCTTTTTTTACTGGTAATAAGTCAAAGGCTAGTTAAGCCTTTCACTATATCTCATTGCCCCTAATCTTTAAACTCCTCTGTCCTTTTCCTGATTCTTAGCCAACTGTGAATATCTGTGTTCAAGAAGTTAACAATGTAGATAATCCAAAATGAAGTGTGCTTTGTGGCATTATCTGAGCTGTAGATATTAGATGACTAATGTAGTATGTGCTCTGGAAACTTGTAACAGTTCAAATGAAATAAAGCCATTTTATAATGAAACCACTTTAAAATCCTCCGTTTTCATCTTCACTAGAATGACAAAGCACCAACTTAAAGTAAACCAACTCTCTCCCTTTCTCTGAACTTGCTGTATTTTCTAAGAAGGAAAAGGTAAAGAAGAATTGAGTCACTAGGAACTTGATGAAAAATCTACCACAGTATATGTACCCAAATTTACAGTATCAAATGGTTTCCAATATCAGTTGAGACCCGAGGCATTTAAAAATATATTCATTTATTCATACATATATTCACTTTACAATATTGCATTTTCACATACATAAAAATCTAAAGCATTTTTAAGAATTTATGAAAGTCTTGTACTGATGCTTTGGCAATCTCTTCACAAAATATTTCATCAGGAATAGATACGAGTTTGTCCAAAGAGATGTAGTTAGGTTTTGCTGGATCATACTGTGCTCTTCCTAAATAGGTAAGAAACAAGTGTCTTTCTTTGATTTTAAACAGCCTTGTATTAAATACCTAGAAAAGAAAAAAAGTTTTTAAAAAACATTGCACATTGGAGGATGAAATATTAAAAAGTTTACTTGGCAAAAATTTTAATAGGTTAACCAATACAAAGTACTAACCACGTGTTCAGGAAGTAGGATAAATGCCAGAGGATTTAAATCCTATATTTTCTGTTAGAAAACTAGAAAAAGGGATTCAAAATCAACATACAAAAAAATAATAAAATAATTAAGGGCTATAATGTGGGCAAAGATTGAGTGCTCCAGAGACAGAGGAGAATGTGTTAAAAAAGCGAATCTTCGGCCTGGTGCGGTGGCTCACGCCTGTAGTCCTAGCACTTTGGGAGGCTGAGGCAGGCAGATCATCTGAGGTCAGGAGTTCAAGACAAGCCTGGCCAACATGGCAAAACCCTATCTCTACTAAAAATACAAAAATTAGCTGGGCGTGGTGGCACATGCCTATAATCCCAGCTACTCGGGAGGTTGACGCAGGAGAATTGGTTGAACCCAGGAGACAGAGGTTGCAGTGAGCCGAGATCCTGCCACCGCACTCCAGCCTGGGCAACAGAGTAAGACTCTGTCTCAAAAAAAAAAAAAAAAAAAAAAAGGGCAAATCTTCAAGCCTTACCCCAAAACTACTTAATCAGCAACTCTGAGAGCTAACTTGAACCAATGTTAGAGATCAAGATGTTATTGTAAAAAAAATTGTAAGATTTCATAATCTGTAACACCTCTCTCTCTTTTTAAATTCCCACACACCTCCCCTTAACTAGAATCAAAATGAAATGAATCTGACCTCTGCGAGAGCAACTGGGAAAGTATGTCTTACCTGCCTCAAACTAAAACTCCTAAAAACTACAGTGAGCAGCAACTTTAGAAAGGAGTCAGAAGCAGGCAAGGCTCTACAGCCGACTGCAGAAAGAAGAGAGAAATGGGAGATCTGGCCAGACTTGAGCTACAGCCCTGAAGCCTGAGAGATCTGTGAGGCCCCCTAGCGAGGCTCAGAGGAAGCCTTTCAATATTATGCCTGCCTCAAGCTCTCCTCTTGGCTGTTACAGACACAATGTGAACACAGGACATGATACACAACCCCTAGGCCTCTTTCCCTACATTCAAGTGAAAACAGTAACAGATCAGTTGGAAAGGACACTATGAAAAGCAATTGTTGAAAACCAAAGTACTATGAGAAGAGTGACTAAAAAAAGTACAGGGTGCTACCTCAACATGGGATTGGCTTGCTTTTGGAACAGAACATCTCCCTTTTCAGTCTCTGCTATTCTGCCCTTGTTCTGATCATTAAATTCCCATAATCACAATATTATGGATAATGAAGATGTAAGAAGTTATATATATATATATATATATATATATTTTAAAGTATGACTCCAATGCAGTGATTCTTGGCTTAAAAAACTATCACCCAGCTGGGCACGGTGGCTCACACCTGTAATCCCAGCACTTTGGAGGCCAAGGTGGGCGGATCACGAGGTCAAGAGTTTGAGACCATCCTGGCCAACATGGTGAAACCTCATCTCTACTAAAAATCCAAAAATTAGCTGGGCATGGTGGCGGGCGCCTGTAGTCCCATCTACTCGGGAGGCTGAGGCAGGAGAATCGCTTGAACCCGGGAGGCGGAGGTTGCAGTGAGCTGAGATCATGCCACTGCACTCCAGCCTGGCAACAGAGCCAGACTCGGTCTCAAAAAACCCAAAAAACCAAAAACCAAAAAACAACTATCACCCAGCATACAGACAAAACCACAAACGGTTCTGATGCTCCCAAACTATTATTAATTTCCTAAATATAATAACACTTCAAAGCATTTATTTAGCTTATGAGTAGATATTATGTTTACTTCTCCAGTGGTCCAAAGTTACTCCATCATTAGAGAGTTGTGTACTCTTTCAAGTCCAAAAGTTACTGCTCAGATTGAAGTGTTTCTCCCTTCTTTTTTTATGGGTGTGGTGGTGCAGGAGGAGGGTTGTTGGCCACCAGGGGCTACTCTGCCATTGGCACAAAAATTTCATCCCATTAATGACATATTAAATTCTTCGGAGTTAAAAAAAAAACGTGCCCCTAGCCTGAGAATTATTGGTTCCCTCTAATCCTTAGGTGGACTTCAGCTTTGCCTTCACAGAAAATCACAGAGGAAGGGGAGAGCCAAGGTTTCGGGGGATACTGAATATAACCTCTTTCCTTAGCCTAGTGATTTCTTCACATTCATTACCCTAAAACTGCTTTTGTTATCCTCTACCTTCCACGATCTCTTCTTTGAAATGACTAAATTACTTCTTTCCCCATTTTTAATTAATCCTAAGTCAGATCTGCCAACCAGGAATATTATCTGCATGAGAAAATTAGTTCCACGCCACTGAGATTTAAACACCAGCCAAAAATTTAAAGTCTATATCAGCCCGTTCACAGCCTTACTGTCTGTTAATGTATTTTTTCATTAATAAGCTTTTTATTTTTCTGTTCTTTTTCACCCAATAATTCCACCCAGACTCTAGGAATCTGAGAATCCCAATTTGGAAGCCACAATTCTACAATAGAGCTTCTCAGAAGCAAGGGTTTGGGGTGCCTACAAATCTGTGTTTTTAAGTGATTTTGATACATCTGGTCAACTTATAATTTCTTCTATTTGGAAAGCTCCTCTCCATCTTTCAAACACCACTCACTCTTCTACAGACAATTCAAATGTCACTTCTAGCAGATCCTAGTAAAAGGCTTGGGTTTTTAAACTGGACTGCTGGAGTTCTAATCGTGGTTGTGCCCCAACCTTGTTACTTGGGTAACCTTGGACAGGTTACTTAAATCTCTTTAAGCTTAAGTTCTTTATGTGTAAAATAGGGGTAATAATAACATCTACCTCACATGGTTGTTGTGAGAATTAACTGTGTTAATACAAATAAAGCAATAAAGATAGAGCTGGCACACAGTAAGTACTCAATTGCTGTTATTACTTCTATAATTCTCCTACCACTTCTAAATCACACTGTAAGAGCTCAGATTAGGACTTTTTACCATCATATAAAGCAATTTTATTTTATTTAATTAATTAATTTATTTTTTGAGACGGAGTTTTGCTCTGTTGCCCAGGCTGGAGTGCAGTGGCACGATCTTGGCTCACTACAAGCTCTGCCTCTCAGGTTCACACCATTCTCCTGCCTCAGCCTCCTCAGTAGCTGGGACTACAGGCGCCCGCCACTACGCCTGGCTAATTTTTTTTTTTTTTTTTTTTTTGTATTTTTAGTAGAGACGGGGTTTCATGTGTTAGGCAGGATGGTCTCAAACTCCTGACCTTGTGATCTGCCCAACTTGGCCTCCCAAAGTGCTGGGTTTACAGGCGTGAGCCACAGCGCCCGACCAAAGCAATTCTATTTTAAAACCTGTCTTCCACACTCGATTATAAGTTCCACAAGAACAGAGACCATGTCTGCTTGACTTTTGTATCCTCAGTGCCCAGTGTCTAGCACTGATGGATGCTCAGTGATATACTGGAAAAATGACAGACCACGAAGGTCAGGAGGGGACAATATCATATATTCTTACCATCATCTATGGTCCCTGAATTACCCACCAACCCAGGGAAAAACAAACTGTCATTGCTTTTTTGTTGAAGATTATTTTACAATTACTCCATGAGTCAAATTCACAAAATTGTAGGCTTCTAACACTTCCATAATGAGTATATTTATGTTTGGTAAAATAGGAAAATCCTATATTAGAGACCCATTCCTCGTGAAGTATAATAGGCAAATAAATATAGCTGTATGTGAAGGAACTGGATCTAATGCAGTCTAGTTCTGAGAGCTGTATTAAGGTAATATTTCTTTTACCCATCTTTTTTCAAAAACAGGAACACACGTGTTCTAGCAAATGGAGTAGAAGGATCACTTAAATAAAAATTCAGTTTGTCATTTATCCAATAAATACTGAGTGGCTATTTACATAGGAAATAGGAAAAAAGGATTACTTTGATAAAATCCAATCATTCATTGGTTCATCAAATATTAATTGTGCGCTTCCCTTAGTGCCAGGTGTAGTTCTAGGCACTGGGGATTTGGCAGTGTATAAATCAGACAAAGTTTCTGCTTTTAAAGAGTAATATTCAAGATCAATATTCTTGTGAACAGCAGATAATATCACTCACTAGGTAAAGAATACAAGAGTTTGATTAGCTTAGAAAATATAATTACGGCTTGGACATTATGGCAAACTGGAACACTTTTATATTGGGATGGGGATCATTACAATATGGCTCATTGATTCATGGATTTAAATAAACTGTGACTAAAAAGTACACGTAGCAGTGAAAAGACCTTTAAGGGAAGTGATCTATTTCAAAGTTAAGTGGAGAAAAACATGAGAGAGACTACATTCGACTTGTTCTGCCTGATTCCAACAAACAGAACTAGGACTAGGTAGAAACTCCAGGGAAACAGACTAATCACTGATTTCTCCTCAGGAGATGTACATTTGTGCCCTGAAAGTTGTAAACTCTTCCCAGTGTACAGAACCATGCAGCTGGACAGCAGCTCTGAATGAAGCGCAATGGCAGCGCTTACAGAGAGAGCTGTGAGTGGCATTACCTGTGGGAACTTGACAATGATGTGGTGGGGAATGCTCATCACATTGTGCACAAAATCAAATGTCTCGGTAAGTTTCCTTTTATTTGCAGTTAACATCTTCGGGATTCTGGTGATCATATGTTGAATTTCGTTATGTTTAAAACCAAGTTCAAGACGGTAAACCTAAACGAAAGTAAATTTGCTATGAATAATAAGTAGAAATAGTTATTTTGGTACTATGGCAAGGCTGCGCTGATTCTTTTTGTTTTTGAGATAGAGCTTGTTCTGTTGCCCAGGCTTCAGTGCAGTGGCACAATCTCCTGCATCAGTCTCCCAAGTAACTGGAACTACAGAGGAATGCTACCACACCTGACTAGTTCTTGTATTTTTAGTAGAGCCAGGGTTTCACCAGGTTGGCCAGGCTGATCGTGAACTCCTGACCTCAAGTGATCTACCCGCCTTGGCCTCCCGAAGTGCTTACAGGCATGAGCCACCGCATCTGGACAAGATTCTTTGAGACTGCGTCTCGCTCTGTCATCCAGGCTGGAGTGCAGTAACACGATCTCAGCTTACTGCAACCTCCGTTTCTTGGATTCAAGCGATTCTCCTGCCTCAGACTTCTAAGTAGCTGGGATTACAGGTGCCTATCACCACGCCTGGCTAATTTTTGTATTTTTAGTAGAGATGAGGTTTCACCATGTTAGATAGGCTGGTCTCAAACTCTTGACTTCAAGTGATCTGCCCACCTCGGCCTCCCACGCTAGGGTTACGGGCGTGAGCCACCGCGCCTGGCCATGATTCTTCTAAACTTAAAATAACATTTTAAAATTTGGAGACAGCTATGCCAGTGCCTTCAGGGAATTACAGCTTCCGGCTCCTGGGGTCACCGGAATTTCAAACTCCTCTGCTGAGAAAGAGCTACACAGTGATCGTCATGAAGATCACCAAAGGGGCAACCATAATTATGAGAGAGAATGAGTGACATGGGAGGGCTGCAGGTCAGAGGCAACACCAAACAGATCCTTCAGCAGCAGGATCATCAAAATGCTTTTTGAGCTTTTGCTCCCAAGCACACCGACATATATGTTGTCTGAAAAAATGACATGTCAACATTCCAAGCAGAGATAAGGAACTAAACAACCAAACATGGGCCAGGTCCTCTACTTGCTTCCATAGTGTCCTGTGTGCGCCCACCAAGTAACTGCCCCCATCACTCTGGATTTGATCCCCCACTAGACTGTAAGCTCCTTGGGAGGAGGAGCTGTCTCCCCAGCATGGCGCTTGGGCAGGAGCTCAATAAAGATTTATTTAATGACTGAACTGTTCACCTCAGAAAACAGCCCTTACATAATATTTCAAATACTACTACAGCTTTATATACTAACTAGTCAGCTGCTCTTGGCTTCATGTTATTCTCTTGCAGGAAGGACAGTAAAGAGTGTCTAGTACATTCTGTGATAGAATGAGAGTTGGCAATTGGGACAGGTGCAAAGGAGAGCAATGTGTTATCTGTTACTCTTTTCACAGAAGTCTTTTGGATCCAGCCTCCAAAACTCCCTGAGACATACACAGACTGTCATGCTGGCCAACAGGAGTAGTTTCGTAGACTGGTAACACTGCCCAGGTAACAAAGACATCAGACTCCCACAATGGGCAACAGAAACAGTTTCAGGGTACCACTTATATCCCTATCTATTGCTTTAGGATTGTGGGTATCAATGTCTGCAAGGTGATTTACTCATGTTAATACCTGGTCAACATGAAAATATTAACTGAAACAAACTGCTTGCTAGACATTTGTTAAAGATAATTTCCTATTTCTCTTTTTAGAAATAACTTATTTTAAAGTCTAGTTTTCTTTTAGATGACAGCAAAATCTATTCTCTTCAGAGGATTTTAACACTTAAAGAAACTGATTTCTCAAAAGCCTAAAGTTGTCCTACCTTCATATTTTCTTTCACGGGTTCCAGACTTCCAGTTAGCAGCCTTGGGAGACGAACTACCAGATCTCTAGTCTGTGGTTGCAAACAAAACAATCTAGTATTACTATATGTGCATCTTTAACTAGTTTGGAGGATTAAGGCATTACTAAGACACAAAGTTAAAACTTAAAATATGACCCAATCAGAAAAATGATAGGAACCCCAGGAATATATAATGTTAGTACTGTTTGGAAAAAAAGAAAACAAAAACTGAAGGAACCAGTTTGATTAAGTATTATAAAATAATGTAGCTCTATGTTTAAACTAGCAGGATAATTCATTTTTGTACAAAAAATACCAGAAATGTATATGATTCACATGGGCTGGGCATCTGTTAGGAACATGAGATTTATCAGCTACTAAAATGTACCAGACATGGAAATAAACAAATTCTCTCCTTTTCTTTACCTTTTTCACACTAAGTTCAAGTTCTTTCTGAAAAAATCCCAATCTGTTATCCAGTCTTTCCACTGAAAAGTTCAGCAAAAATGGTGCTTTTCTGACCATCTGTGCAACATCTGCTTTACTGAAATTTTTTGAAAGCAGATAAGCCACCCTAGAGAAACATAAATACATACGCATGTGATAAACATTTACATTCTTTTTTTTTTGAGACACAGTCTCATGCTGCTTTCCAAAATAACAGCTATTTTTAAAAAGGCTCCCACATCCTAAATTACTAACTAAATAAAAGCATTCTGTAACAATGGCAAAAATGGCAAAAACATGTTTAAAACAAAATAAGCATTCACCCAACTCTAGATGGTTTCCATTTACACTTAAAAACAGAAAATAATTCTGAAATCCACTAATAGGTATTAGTTGTGGTTTTTGCCATTACTTTCAATAGCAAAAACATGATTACTTTTGCACCAACCTTTAGATTCTCTTTTCAATTAATCTGGTTTATTACTTGGTAAGAACGAATGAAATAGCTTCTGCTTAAGTTTTTTTGTTATTTTTTTTTTTGGGATAAGAACAGAAAAACACAAATTAAGAAAACAATACAAATTAAGAAAATTAAGGAAATAATGGTTACAACTGAGAGAAGCATTTTTTAGGTTAGTATATTTACTGAGCCCCTCCCTTCCCCTCTTCTATTCTTTTCCTTTCAGGAAGAGTCTCGCTCTGTTGCCCAGGCTGGAGTGCAGTGGCATGATCTTGGCTCAATGCAACCTCCGCCTCCCAGGTTCAAGTGACTCTCTTGCTTCAGCCTCCCAAGTAGCTGGGATTACAGGCATGCACCAGTAGACCCTGCTAATTTTTATATTTTTAGTAGAGACGGGGTTTCCCCATGTTGACCAGGCTAGTCTCAAACTCCTAACTTCAAGTGATCCGCCCATCTTGGCTTCCCAAAGTGCTGGGATTACACTTGAGTGACCATGCCTGGCCTGAATATGTATTTTCATAAATAATTTTTTACTACGGTCTTTCAATACGTATTTTGTTAACTTAGATATTTTCCTGCTAAGTTTTTGAAAATTAAACTATGTAAGTTAGTAAAATATAGAAAGCTTGACTATAAAATAACATTTTTTAAAAAAAAATCTAAGAACATAGTAAAAGATAGTTTTACTAAATGTCTAAAATATATCAGGATATTATTTTGTTTAATTCTAACTAGAAAAACCAAAAAACTTGTGAGCCAGGTAAATTTTCCTCATTACACTTGAGGAAACATGGATTCAGGGAAGTTAAATAACTTGTCTGAGATCATCACCTAATTACTGACAAAACTAAGATGTGAACTCAGGCATGCCTACATCTAAAGCCTATGGTATTTTCATACTATATACCCAAACTTATATTACTTTATAATCACATGACTATTACTCCTTTAAAAATAGTTAAAATATTTATAAGTTTAAGTATATAAAAATTTTAAGTGCATGGCAAAATAAAACAAAATAAAACAAAAACACCCCACTATAAATGAAGTCAAAAGACAAGTGACAATCTAGGAAAAATATCTGCAACATATCTCAGATACAGAACTAATTTTCTTAATATATAAAAGAACGTTTACCAAAAAAGAAAAAAGCCTGGTTAAAAAATAGCAAAGGATATATTACAGAAAAGGAAATGTAGACAGAAATTCAACAAATGAAAAGATGCTCCAAACAACATTCCATGTTTCAACATTTGATGCTCCAAACCAACAAATAAAGTATTCTTTTTATCTATACAATGAACTGAAAGCAAAGTGCGATAGCACTGTATTTGTGAGGATAATAGGGAAGCTGGCACTTCTGTACACTGTTGGGGAGAGTATAAACTGGAAAAAAACCCTTTGAAGGATAATTTGGCAATATCTACTGAAGTTACAGATGAACATACCCTTTGACCTAGCATTTCCACTTTTAGAAATATGTCCTACAGAGAGACACCAATATGTGTGATTTTTCAGAAGTATACAAAGTAAGTCACTGCAGCCTTGTCCTAACAGTGGACTGGAAACATACTCCACGCTTATCAACAGGTACTAGGGAGATCCGCAGCATGGACTGTACTAGAGTTAAAAAGAATAGGCAGCACCAAGAAAAAATAATCTCCAAGATATAGTGAATATAGTGGGATACAGAATAGTATGTATAAATGCTACCAATTGTTATGTATTTGTATTCATGTGTGTATACACAGATATATGCTTTATAGAACATTCCTAGAAGGTTGAACAAAAATTCCTGATAACAGCAGCTGTATCCATAGGTGGGTCCTGGAAGGCCAAGGGACAAAGTAGGAGAAAAGGAGGTATTACTTGTTGTTTTTTTGGCAGCAAGGTTTGGCATTTGATTAAAAAATTATCAAAACTATTGTCTACATTGTAATGATTTTTCCAATAAAAAATTAAGATATAATGCCCACCCAACAAAAAAAAAAGAGTATTTAAATAATTAAAATGCCAATTATTCATTTGAAAATTCTACAAGGATCTTTTAAACATAATTTTTTATTGAAAAAATAAGTACATGAAATCAGCTGTTATAGAAATAAGACTGCTGCATACATCAGAACTAGTAACAAAGTTCATTTAAATAAAGGTTCTCACACCCGTGCCTATTCAGTATTTTTTTACTGTATACTCTTTTGAATATATGTGGTTGCATGACGTATTACAAAATTCTAAGTAATTTTTATAAACGTTCTACAGCTTAATTTGATAGCCAGCCAGGTTTAGCCAGATTTTATTTTTTTAAGAAAAAAACTTAGGAATCAATGGACTATGATTAGGAATCAATGGACTATGCTACCTATGTGAGAATATTCCTCAGTTGTTAGGAGCATGTATGGCTTGAGCAAGTAACTTAAGCTACTAAGCTTAAGTTTCCTTCAAAGAATTAAATGCAGAGACAGTATGTAGTAGTCAGAACCCTGGAGTTTGATTAACTGGAGTTGAAACCACTTACTCTGCTACTTATACTAATGGTGTGTAATCTTGGGCAAATTATTTAACCTCTCTGCGACTCCCATGTACAAAGGGGCTATTAACAATAAGTGCAGCCTGGGAAATGATCCCTACCCTCCTGGTATTCATGCTTTCTTGGAATAAATCTTGAGCAAAAAGGCTGGTTTTTGACTGCAGAGGGAATTAGTGTTCCTGACAGCCAGGAAGACTAGAGCTGGATATGTCAGATTAGTTTCTTAGAATCATTCTCTCTCCCCTCTGTATTGTGATAGCCTATCTATATTACACCAGAATATCACTCTCATGAAGGGAAAGACTGTCTCTGATGTCTAAAGTTTAGGCCAGTGTCTCGCATATAGAAGGGCTCAAATGTTCAATTTAATAAATGCGGTTTTTGTTTCGTGTTTTTTTTTCCTAATTCTGAGAAAAGACATTAGACTATGATGGTTTAAGGAACTGCAAAGCTCTCCGAAATGTAGTGAGAATCAACATCAGTGTGGAGAACAGTCTGGAGGGTCAAGACTAGAGGCAGACCAATTAGCAGACTGTTGCAGTAGTCTTGGTGTGGTATGATGGGGAACTGAGGCAAAACAGTCAAAGCAAAGATTCAGAGAAATGTCATGACTGATTTGAGCTATAAGAAAGGAAGAACTGATGGGCTTTCATGATTTATTAGATGTAGATGATAAAAGAAGAGAAAGCAAATTAATGCCAATATTTCTGAGTTGGCAAAAGGTATTCAGTGAATCTGGGAATACAGACTGGCTTGGGTGACAGGTGGGGGTGATGATGAATTCAAAATGTTAACTTAGGGACAGGGGTTTTGTTCTCTGTGGTATTCCCAATGCCTAGCAGGATTCTTACCTCATGGGTCAATATCTCACTGTATTTATTTTCACAAATTCAGTAATTCTTTGAATGTTGAATGAAGTACAGAGATGTTTATAAAAGTGCTCTTTAAAGAAGAAAACAAGGAACAACCAAAATAGCCAACTTATGGAAATGATTAAGCAAATTACATAGGAATTTGCCACGACAATATCAAACATCTAACAACAAAAATTGGCCAGACAAAAAAACTACAAAAGAGCTTATCTTTAAGCGTACTCTCAGATAAGTTAGCTATGTGTTGATGATTTTATTTTTTTAAGAAAAAAACTTATTCCAGTTTCTAAAGAGAAAGAGTTAATTACTGACTCAGTAATAAGTTGAAAACATAAAAATAATAATGGAGCTGGGCAGGGTGGCTCATGCCTGTAAAATTCCAGCACTTTGGATGCCAAGATGGGCAAATCACTTGAGGTCAGGAGTTCAAGACCAGCCTGGCCAACATGGTGAAACCCCATCTCTACTAAAAATACAAAAATTAGCCAGGCATGGTGGCTACCCATAATCACCCAGCTACTTGGGAGGCTGAGGCAGGAGAATCACTTGAACCCGGGAGGCGGAGGTTACAGTGAGCCAAAATTTTGCCACTGAACTCCAATCTGGGCAACAGGGCGAGACTCCATCTCAAATAATAATAATAATAATAGGTAGTTGAATAAAATAACTGTTGTAAATACTTAATTTAGATCAAAAAAGGTCTATAACAAAAAAATAACTTTCATGTTCATTATCTCCATAGACTCTTGTGCAGCAGAGACTTAAAGAATAATTTCCACATATATTTCCTTCATAACCACTTCTTGGGTTATATGATAATCCTTTTTTTTTTTTTTTTTTTTTTTGAGACCGAGTCTCACTTTGTCGCCCAGGCTGGAGTGCAGTGGCGCGATCTCAGCTCACTGTAAGCTCCACCTCCTGGGTTTACGCCATTCTCCTGCCTCAGCCTCCCGAGCAGCTAGGACTACAGGCGCCCGCCACCTCACCCAGCTAGTTTTTTGTATGTTTTACTAGAGACGGGGTTTCACCGTGTTAGCCAGGATGGTCTCGATCTCCTGACCTCGTGATCTGCCCGTCTCGGCCTCCCAAAGTGCTGAGATTACAGGCTTGAGCCACTGCGCCCGGCCGATAATCCTTTTAAAAGTCCTACCTGATCTTCAGATTTTCAAGGTCTTCAGAGAAAATTGCATGATTTTTTGTCAGGAATGCTCCCAGTTGGTTATCCTCTATACCCACGTCTTTAAGAAACAGGAGCATCTGCTTAATGTCTTTTTCAAAATCCAGTCTCAGAAGGAGGTTTGCTGCTTCTGTATGTTTTTCTATCTTGGACAAATCCACTCCTATAATAAATTATAAATACTGTTTGAAGATGACTTCTTAGTTCACCCGTTAAACTCATATACATAAGCACAAGAAATTACTGATGGAGATCAATACCTATCCAAAGGAGCACTGAGATAGATCACTAGAAACTTCTAAATATTTTTAAACTAAGTTGGTTGCAGAAACAACATAGAATTTATTTTAAAAATCAAGTACAGAGGAAAATAGAGCATTTAGTGCTACATTTCCCCCCAAAACAAATTCACTAAGTCATACTGGAGTAGGGTCATCATCTTTGTCTAAGGTTTCTTGAATATTGTTTCAGAATGTTTGTCAGTCCCTAATGAACCCCGTAGTAACTGGTAATTCTGCAGGGTAACAAACAATATGAATAAAATGTTACTGTCTCTGAAGATTTTATGATTTCCTTAGTTATAAGCATTATTTTAAAAATATGTTTATGATTCCCATCATAGGGGGAATAAAAACGATCCTGTGCCTTACTCATCATTGTAATCTCTAGGTCTTTAGCACAGAGACAAGTCCCTTGAAGAAACTCAAGAAATGTTTGAGAACAAGTGAACACATAGCCCTTCAAGTATACAACAAAGCAGAAAATATACAACCTTAAACCTCCACATTTAAAACTTCTTAATGGCATCCACAATAAAAAAAAAAAAAATCATATTCATTATAACTCCAAATATTAGAACCAAATATGATTATAAATCCAAATTTCTTGATATTAAACAGGTATTGATAAAAGATGCCCATGAACAGTGAAATGGATTAAATACACATAGACACAATGATATGGTTAGGCTGTGTCCCCACCCAAATCTCATCTTGAATTCCCATGTGGTATGGGAGGGACCTGGTGGGAGGTAACTGAATCATGGGGAGAGGTCTTTGCTGTGCTGTTGTGTAATACTGAGTAAGTCTCACAAGACCTGATGGTTTTAAACAGGGGGGTTTCCCAGCACAAGCTCCCTTCTCTTGGCTGCTGCCACATGAGACGTGCCTTTCACCTTCCGCCATAATTGTGAGGCCTCCCCAGCCACATGGAACTGTAAGTCCATTAAACCTCTTCCTTTTGTAAATTGCCCAGTCTCAGTTATGTCTTTATCAGCAGTGTGAAAACAGCCTAATACACCCACTCACAGAATGAAGATCCAGAATAAACTAAAAAATGTTATTATACAACAATATGCATTTCAGATCAAATAGATAGACTATTTGTTAAAATATATGGAACCACTAGCTATACCTTTGAAAAAAAACATTCTCTTTATATCTTACATGAAATTAATTCTAGATAAAGAATCTAAATATATACTAACTCTACTAGAAAAACATAAAATTTAAAAAAAAATTAAGTTTACAGAAAAGTATAAAACCTATGTGTAGAAAAAGGTCTGGAAAGCTTTTCCACGAATTGGTAATAGTGGTTACTTTTGAGAAGTGGAACTGGGGATGAAGAGAGGGTAAGAGGTCCTTCTCTTATAATATCTGCACTTTTGACAACCAGATGTAATTCTTTTGTAATTTAAATATTAGTAGAAAAATAAATCCAATTATTAGATGGACAAATAAATAAGATGAAAACCAGTTCCAAAAATCTGTGATAAACGGGAGAACAGATGCTTTAAAAATAACATAAAGGGTTCAGACTTCACATTTAACTCAATATTACAGCTGACATGAACTGAAGTGCCTTGCTCAGCATGAGCTGTCACACCCTGACTGTGCTCGAACAGAAATCCTGAAAAGCTGCTTTTTTAGCAGCAGTAGGAGAGCAGAATCTCATCAGGAATGCACACTGCTCTCAATGCAAATAACTTGGGCTCACTTCATTTCATTAACTTGAAAAAATAGTCCCTGAATGCCCACTACGGACCAGGCACTTCTGTTAGGCACTGGGGTTATAAAAAAAAGAATAGTAAACGATTCTAACCTCTAGGTGACCAGTCTAGTTGGGCTTTACCTCATCAGTTCAGTAATTACGAATATTACCATTGTATTCAGTTATGGTTACACGTATTTAGTACATCAATCAGGGTCTAGCAGGCTATACAACGTGCCCTAGAAAGCACAAATGACAAGGACTTTAATGAAGGGACTCTATACAGCGGTGTGAGCAGCCTTAAGAGAACAAACAAGAACCCTCCCAACATTAAAGAGACAAGGAGGCAAAATGTTACCAAGGCACAGAGGGACTACAGGCTATTAAGGAAGGGCTGCTCGAGAGAGCTGTTGTCATGGAGCGAGGCAGGTACAGGACCCAAAGAAGGCAAGGAACATGGGAAAAATATCCCCACCTGGCTCTTCTACCTTCTGTCCTATAGGTGCCTCCCGCTGGCTGAAGCTGCCAAGAAGCCAGCTGGCATAGGAACCCTGGTGCATAGGGGTTTGGCCTCCTGGGACACAGATCAGGCAGAAAATGGGTCTCAGAAGCAAACAGAGAAGCAACTAGGACTTGAGTACTCAAAAATACTGTCTGACCAAGCAAATAAGTCTCCCTTAAGTTACTATCATTTAAGTTATTTCTAACACATGCTGTTGAAGTATCAGCATACAGGTAAAGGAATGGCTGAAACATATTCCAAACCTGTATGTATACTGTAAATTATTTAAAGGTAAGGACTGGGCCAGGCATAGTGGCTCATGCCTGTTATCCCAGCACTTTGGAAAGCCGAGGTGGGAGGAGAGCTTGAGCCCAAGAGTTTGAGACCAGCCTGGGCAACATAGTGATACCCCCTTCTACAAAAGAAAAAAAAAATTAGCCAGGATGGCATGTGTCTAAAGTCCCAGCTACTTGGGGGGCTGAGCGGGAGGATCACTTGAGCCCAGGAGGTCAAGGCTGCAATAAGCCAAGACCGTGTCACTGCACTCCAGCCTGGGAGACAGAGCAAGACCCTGTGTCAAAAAAAAAAGGTAAGACAGGGACTGTGTCTTAGTTTATCTTGTATTACCCATGGCACCTGCCATAAGACAGGGAAAGCTGTTTCGAGAGGAAAGGTGACGTCCTCACAGCAGACATCATCATTTTCCTACCTCTGAATGTACATTTTTAAAATTATATGTTTATGGAGTACAACATGTTTTGACATCTGAATATATAATGGAATGATTAAATCAAACTAATTAACATATTCATTACCTCACATACTCATCATTTTTTTTGTGGTGAGAACACTTAAAATCTACTCTCTTAACAATTTTCAAGTATACATTATTATTAACTACCATCATCATGCTGGACAATAGATCTCCAGAACTTATGCCACCTGTCTAATTGAAACTTTGTACCCTTTGCCCATCAACTCCCCATTCCTCCCCACCCCCACTCCCCAGCTCCCTCTGCTCCTAAGAGTTCAACTTTTTCAGGTTTCATATATAAGTGAGATCATGTAGCATTAGTCATTCTGTGCTTATTTCACTTAGCATAGCATCCTCCCGGTTCATCCATGTTGTTGCAAATAACAGGCTCTCCTTTTTCAAAGCTGACTAGTACTCCAATGTATAAATATACCACATTTTCTTTAACCATTCATCCACTGATGGACACTTAGGCTGGTTCACAGAACACTTTACTTGCATCTCTCATGTGGGACTTATCACTTTGCCCTTCATCCTTGCATTAATATTTAGATGTTTCTGAGGACTTGAAGCTTCTTGAGAACAAAGGCCATTCTAAACATACAGGTAACGTTTGGGTAACTGGGCACAGAGTGATGAGTATACAATTATAATGGAGTGTCATGAGTGCTAGGATCAAAGTAAGCAGGAAGTGAAATGAGAGCCTGAAGAGGGTCACTCTGTCTGCAGGGTCAAGAAGACACTTTAGAAGTTACTTGGACTTCAGTGATGTTCTCCAGTTGTTGGAGTTGGCTAAACAAAGGAGGGAAGTGGCAAGCCATGAGCTGAACAGGTAAGCAGAAGCCAAATCAGGGCAAGCTTTGATGCCATAGGAAGGTTTTGAAGGATTTTAAGTAGGTCACTGACTTAGATCTGCATTTCAGAAAGAACACTAACACTGTAAAGATATCAGAGCCAATACTGCTGAGGAGAAGACTATCAAGATAGGAGGCTCCTGCAGCCACTCAGTGACAAATGAGGACCTAAACAAGGTAGTGACTGTAGGATGACAGAAGTGGACGGATTTGAAAGAAATAAAGAGGGTAGCATCCATAGGATAAGGTGTTAAATTAGATGTAAAGAGGGAGGGGACAAAAGCAATAAGAATCAAGGATAGGCTGAGTGCAGTGGCTCATGCCTATAGTCTCAGCACTTTGGGAGGCCCAGGCAGGCAGATTGCTTGGGGCCAAGAGTTCAAGATCAGCCTGGCCAATAGGGTGAAACCTCATCTCTACTAAAAATAAAAAAATAGCCAGGCATGGTAGCACATGCCTGTAATCCCAGCTACTAGGGAGGCTGAGGTGGGAGAATCGCTTGAACCTGGGAGGCAGGTTGCAGTGAGCTGAGATGGCGCCACTGCACTCCAGCCTGGGAGACACAGTGAGACTCCATCTGAAAAAAAAAAAAAAAAAAAAAATTCAAGGATGACTCCCAAAGTTTCTAACAGAGCAAAGGTTTTTCTTTTTCCTCTCCTGTTAAAAATCACCTCCCAAAAATATGAGGAATGAGAAACAAAAAAAAAGATCCTTCTTTGAGGAAACGAGATTATATCCCCACATATCTGAAAACAGATGAAGGCATGGCAACAGCCTTATCAGAGAGGAGAAAGACGACACTGAAATGCTTGCAAATGAGAATCTGGCAAGTGGTAAGTGATCAGTACCACGAAAAACTCCAAAGTCTCCAAAATTGGAGTCCCTAGAAATCTGAGAGATTAGAGGTGAGGTGCAGACTAAAAACTGGCAGATTCGGTGTGGAGAAATCTGACCTCCCCCAAATCCAGTTCCTCTCAATGCACCAGGAGAAAGGAGATTCATTATCTGGGAAAATCAAGTATGAGAAGTACCAAACCCAGAGAAAATGAGGAAAGCAAAAGTTTGTAATAAAATGCCAGACTAAAAATAAGATGACTAAATTAAAGTTTGGAGGGAGATCTCCTGGTTCCCTTCAGCCATCCAGATCCAAGTGCAACCTAATGGTCAACAAGTGAAGACAGCTATAGAGTAGGCCTAGAGAGAAACCATCCAAATCAGGAGGACGGTGGCTTCAGGAAGGAGGTCAGGGTAGTGGGACAAGCAGGGAACAATCCACTCTGGAGAAATGGAATACATCATCTGATAGGGTTACCTGGGAAAAACTGTCCTGCGCGGCTATTGGAAGGTATGGAAAAGTTTAACCCCAGAAACAAACAAACAAAACAATTCATCAAATGAAGAACAAGGCAACTATTAATGCTGGAAAAATGAAAAGTTGTACAGGAAGGTAAATAATGATAGCATACTTCTTGTTAGGGCAGATAGCAATATTTATAGTCATAATTTAACTACTGATTGATCTAAAATTGTAATTTATATTAGGAGAATTGAAAAGAATACAGGAAAAGTAGATGTGTACATACAAGAGATCAAATGATGTCTAAAGCTGATGAATAAACAATTATTTTAAAATGAGGAGGTTGAACACAAACAGAAACCATGATACAAGTTAAGTAGATACATCTGTGGAATAGGATGCAAGATCAGCAAGGATGAGGCAGGGAATACAGTTTCTCACTAGAAGCCTTTTTATACTATTTGACTTTTGCTTATGTTTGTATACTACTTAGTATAGATTAAATTGTTAATTTAAAAAAGTAAAAAAGGTAATGAAGAGTACATACAAAAAGTACTTGTAGTTTAGTCAAACTTACCTAGAAGAACTAACTTCTGCAGAGTCTCAGAATGATCCACATAGTCTCGAAGTGTGAATGAAGCTGGTGGCAATGGAGGGTCTGCAATAATCTGAATAGCCTCTTCCTCTGAAATTGGCTGCATTGGAGACAATGGAGGCAATTCATCCAGTTCTTTGAAAGACAGAAACAAATTAGTGCTCTAATATGCACACTTAAAACTATTTCTACAAAGACCGGCTCTTCCCTTGTTTGCTTCTTTCAATAGTTAAATCTCGGGATGATTTTAGAATTAAACATTCAAGAGGACCCCAATTTTTCACCTTTTAAGAGGTAAGGTTACAACTATTTAGACAGACTAACTACTGTTCCTCCAAGATTAGAAATTTGTTGGTAAATTTTAAAGCACACAATGCCTTTCCTTCACTTAATCAGTAGGTGAGAATGCTAAAGATTACCTAACTTTCAAGCGCATTTTGAAAGAGATTGAGTTTACCATAGCCTGTTAACTTGGCCTAAAGTACACATATGCCAACAGTCTGAATTGCATGGATTAAAGTAATTATATCCTGAAAGTCTTTGTTTTGACCCAATGCCCTTCCCTTCAAGTTACCCTCAAATACATCTTTAAGAGGGCTTCTATGATTGTTTCTACAACCTGTAGTCCTCTCTACAGGAGATGTGACTCTCTCTAGTACGGTGCTGATTCTGAAGTTGTTTTTGTTTTTTTAAAATCAAACGCAGTACGGAAGACACTTAGAACCACACAATACCTTAAGCTAAGGAATCAGGTCTGTGATTTCTTGTTCTGTTTTTTGCCTCTAATCATTAACTAGCCTTTCTCATCATTTATAGCCAGCATCTCCTCCCTGCCCTCTCCCCAGCTCTCTTTCCTTCATATTCTACTTAACCTTATATTATTTCATTACCAGTGAAATATTCCTAGAATAGGACCCATAGGAAGGAGAGGACGGACTAAAAAGCGATATGAGGGCACTTTCTGGAGTAACATAACTGTTTTATTTGTTGATTGCAGTAGTTGTTAGACACTAAATGCGTATGTCAAAATTCATAGAACTATATATCCCACAAGATGAATTTTACTTGACATAATTATACCCTAATAAAACTAATTACTAGAATAATTTTGTTTTAAGAATCTAAACAACAAAGTATTTAGAAAGCAAATGTTTTATATGTGTAGCTATAAAATAATCTTACATGTTAGCCCACAAACTTTTTTTCTTAGCCAGTAAAATAAAGGTATGATAGAAGTTCATCAATAGAACCGGTATTATTCTTTTTCTTTCTTGATACAAAATATTACCTGAAATGGGCTAGCAGAATGTAAACAGGTAGCTTGTTCAAATGGCCAAAGTAGAGAAAGGGAGACTTTTCTGAAAGTTCAGAATTACCTTCTAGAAACAGCTCAGAATCAAAGCTGGGTATCTTTTGTGTCTTCTGCGACTGTTCATTCACGGAAGGAAGCAGACTGCTTTGGGTAGAATTATTCTCTTGACTACTTGAGCTAGTAGACTGGGAACTATTCCATAAGGAGGAAGTCTTGTAAGTCTTAAATCCCCACTGGAGAAAGCAATTGTCAGAGGATATCTGAGGCTGAGCAGAAAAGCCATGTAACAATGTTCTTCCTGGTCTAGTAAAACATTTTGTGAGTTGTGCAGCATTAATGAGGCTCCTCAACTTAGCTGAGTTAAACCACCTGGGTATCTGTTGGGCTGACAAAGCCATTTTTCTTAGTCTACAAAGGAAAGATATAACCGTCAAAAGAAGAGAAATTTAATTTACTTAAATGTTTAAAACAGTATTCAAACAACAAAAAAATAAACTGGAAATTGTTTTTTTCTAAATGAAAGGTGTTTAAATATAGTTAGTCTAAAATAGTGAGATGTTTCTTATGCACAGGAAAGTCCAACAACAAGGCAATCTCAGTTACAAACCAATAGACTTTGGGTAGAATTATTCTCTTGACTACTTGAGCTAGTAGACTTCTGAGTGGAAAATAAAGATATACTGTACAATTTAAAAACAATGCAACATCACTGGTGTAAGAAAAATGCTTAAAACAAAAATCTGCAAATGTTCAAATGACAGCAGACCTCACTAATCTGTTAATTTAATCATTTAAAGAGAATAAGCTGATGCAATTAAGTGTTCTTGAAATTTGGTGTGAAGGATGTTTCTGCAGCAGACTGCTGATCAAAGTAACACTGAATTATTCAAATGCATTTTATATTTTATGTATATAAATTTGTCCCAAAATGAAAAAACAGAAATCTACTGTGTCCTAAATGAATCATCAAATTATTATTATTGATATATAGAACAGTGAAAGCAGTTTCTTGCTTCATTCTCAGGGCTGAACACTGTTGATTACTTCACAGATAAAGCTGTTCTTCCAAAGGGAATTGAACAAAACCAGTTTTGTCAAGTTTTGTTTCACTGTAGGAAAGAAGAAAAAAGCCTTCAAAAAGAAAAGGTCAAAACTAGCAAACAAAACCAAGTAACAGAAATGAATAAGCAACCAGCAATTAATACCTGTATATTTTGACTGAAAAAGTAGTTTTCAAAAAGATTTTTATCAGGAAAGGCTAGTGCTATGTTAAACTCCAGGAATATGAAGGGATTTATATTTAGCCAGCCAATAAGAAAGGTAAATTTGATGCATATAATCTTACATTAAATAACATTATCCATATAAAACACAGGATAGAGTCAGGATGTAAGAAATGCTCAATAAATGTTGGCCATTATTATTGATTACACAACCAAATACAAATGAATTCTGCTGAATTAATTGCGGCCTACAACTTTATACTTTGTTTTTCTACATAGTGGAATTTGGCTTGTTTTATGCTCTAAATTAGACCAAATACTTGAAATACTTGAGGGTCTAATCTCCTCTTGGAGATGCGTAGTTTTGGGAAGTTTGCTGAAAGAGATTTTACGAAAGTGAAAGTGTCCTTTCATCCTGCAATTATTTATTATTATTACTTATTTATTTATTTTTGAGACGGAGTTTCGCCCTTGTCGCCCAGGCTGGAGTGCAATGGCACCATCTCGGCTCACTGCAACCTCTGTCTCCCGGGTTCAAGCGATTCTCCATTGTCGGCAGCTGCCTCAGCCTCCCGAGTAGCTGGGATTACCCGTGCCCGCCACTACGCCTGGCTACTTTTTTGTACGTTTATAGAGATGGGGTTTCACCATGTTGGCCAGGCTGGCCTCGAACTCCTGATCTCACGTGATCCACCCACCTCGGCTTCCCAAAGTGCTGGGATTACAGGTGTGAGCCACTGCGCTCGGCCCATTTTGCGATGATTTTAGAAAAGAAATAAGTATTTTTGCGATGATTTTAGAAAAGAAATAAGTATTCACAATAACCTGCTGGGATAGGTGGTTTCTGTCAGATTTTGGTAGGAAATGGGCTTCCAAATGTGCCAAGTTTTCCCTCAAACCTACAACATTCATTCTCTGCACAGAAGTCATAAGGGCACTAAATTGGAAGCCAGAAGACCTCGGTTGTGCTACGTTGACAAGGCTGTTTCTGGCAGCAGTCTAACAAAATGTCTAGCCCATGATGTGGGGTGGATGTGGGGTCAATAACCATTCTTCAAATAATGCTTTTTTAAAAGGCTAAGGGTACAATACGATGATTCGTAAGGCCCCTATCAGCTCTAACATTTTTTGACGTCTAAGCACTTCATGCTACTTCAAACTTCCGAAATCCCAAATTCATCCTGAAGCCTTTCCACACTCAATACCCCTTAAACATCAGGAAGATTCACTTTCAAATTTCATCCCGTCATTAAAAGATCTTTGTGCATACAACTAATGTTTATCCTTGCATTTTTATTTACAAGTGCACTATCTTCTCCACATTATTTCATTGCTGCCTATACATCTTAACAATTGATTAATTGTTCATTCACGAGAGCAAGGCTGGGTCTCATCCCTGGATCCACCCTTCCAGGGACTATTCTCCACTCTCCCAGAGCCTTGTACTGCTCTAATGCTTGCGGAATGGAAATAAATCAATGGCAAGTACAGTTAACTCACTGGCTTACATAGTATGCAAAAGCGGGTAGGGGATAAGCAGATGTGTATAAAAGCCCTGTGAGGTGGCAACCGGAAGTCTTCTAACAAGTTCCTTTCATCAGGAAAATTACAGAAAACCCTTAAAAAACTCTGAAGTCTATTAATTCATATATACGGTTCTCAGTGAGTGCCTAGAGCTTCGCTTGAAAAAGGCACTGAAATAGGGTTCAAGATTTCTACCTAAGAAAGGCTATAAATGAAATCAGGAAAGAAAGGGAGGTATGGGGGTAGCTTCCTAATACAGGGCCTCTCAATACTTCCTAGGCCATTTTAGCCCATTTCAGTTCCCCCAAACTTCCGCAGGAAGGCAGAGCCCCCTCCTGAGGCTTCTCACACCGCGCTAATTAGTCACCATGGTTGAGTTTTCACGCCAGCCAGGGAAAAACACAAAACAAAACTAATCACCTTCGACTGGGCCGCGAAAACCTAAAGGCCCTTGAGGCCTTGGGGCGCGGTCTGGACGTAGGTGCGCCGGAACCTGAACTCCTGCCAGGACCGCGATCCTCGCGCTGAGGCAGCTCCTGCTTTACCTGTGGCGAGGCCTGCGCCCCGTAGCGGGTGACCCCGGGACCGACCGACTCGCAGGGCCGCACGCCCAGTCCAGCAGTGCCGCACGCCGGCTCCTCAGCCTGCCCGGCCAAGCGCAGCCGCGCTCCCCGGCCCACGTGGGCTGCGGCCGGAGTGGGCGAGACCATGTGCCGGGTTGCGTGGGGAGACAGCGGGCTACGTGCGCGGAAAAGAGTCAGCCAGGGGCAGCAGATAGCCTTCTCCGCTCGCCACTCCCTTGAAGTCCTGTGGACTTGGAGTCTGAAGGCTTCTCGAGTGCGTAGAGATGCCTCAGCCGGGATGACAGCGTGGGGACGGCCGGCGGCGCCCCCTGCCCCAGGCCGCGGTGGCGGCGCCGCGACCCCGCCCTCTAGCTCCTGTCCTTCCCTTCGCTCCCAGCCTTTGCTGGGCGCCAGACCCGGCTTCGCCGTCCGGCTATTAGCCGACTGTGGCTAGTCACCCCCGGGGTCCCGGCCTCCGCGGGCTGGGGCCGCCGCCACCGCGGCAGGACGGGGAGGCGGGCAATGGCGTCCTGCGTGGGGAGCCGGACCCTAAGCAAGGATGATGTGAACTACAAAATGCATTTCCGGATGATCAACGAGCAGCAAGTGGAGGACATCACCATTGACTTCTTCTACCGGCCGCATACCATCACCCTGCTCAGCTTCACCATCGTCAGCCTCATGTACTTCGCCTTTACCAGGTGGGGCGGCCCGGCCGCGCCGGGGGCGCGTCCAAGGGCTAGGCAAGAGGCGGGAGGCAGGGTGGCGGGGAGGGTGGCCCGGCATGGCTTTGGGTGAGGAAGCGGGCTGGCTGCCCCACTCACACGTATTGGCAGCCCGCCGCCCACGCAGCCCCTCCGCCCGCCCGGTGTCTCACAGTACGCTAGCCTGCTCCCCCACCCCTCAGGGCCCCTTCTCCATACAGCACCTCCGGTTACACGGTGAACGCACGCGAGTCACCTAGCACGATCACCCCCCCACCCACCGCACTCAGCATGGCTCCACACAACATCACGACGCGGGCCCCTCCTCTGCACCGTTCCAGCCCCCGTCCCTACCCAGCACACCGCATGAATCATCTCGTATGCACCACTTTCAGCACACACCGCTACACATATAAAGCACCCCAATCCACAGAGCCTACAGGCACCATACACAGGCCCAGGACACAGCCTAGATCCCTTCCTGAGGAACTCCGGTATTCGGCACTATCCGTAACACATAAAAAATGCACATGTGTGCTACATACACGGTCTTTCCTGTGCAGCACTTCCCGTATGCATTGCACACAAGTCATCCATCCAGCATAACCCTTCCCCCAGCCTCAAACACTACCTTCTGTACCACGGCACAAACTGCCACTCTAAACACACACATCACAGCGGACCTTTCCTTTCCAGCACAGCCCAATACCCATCATCTGGGTACATGGCTGCACAGACACCAGCCCGCCACACAGCACGCAGTGCATACCCTGCTCACTCATTTCCTAACATACGTGCTGAAATGTGATCCTGTCCAGCAATTTTAATGGTGCCTGGTGTATACTAACTGCTGTGTGTTAAATGAAACACATAAACCTCGCACAGCATAACACATCTCTATTATTCCCCGGAATACGTACACACACATTCTAATATATACCTGTTCAGAAGAGCTGCCCAGCCCAAATCTTGAACACACCTCATGTAACTCTGTGGCACTGCGCCTGTGGCCCCTTATTCCTAACCTAGGGAACTAATTCATCCTTGGTTCATAAGGAGGTACACACCGTGGTTCCTACTTAGAAGGATTTATACTTTCCGAATGAACCTCTTTAAAGAAAGGGAAGTCACGCCTCCCTCACCATTATGGCTTAAAAGGCCAACTTAGAGTAGTGTAGTTTTTGAGCCATACTGTTGTTTTCAAACCTGGCTGTGTGTCCTTAGTTAAGTTGCATAACCTTGCTCTGACCCTCAGGGGCCACACTTGTAAAATGGGGATGAAATATACACTTATATAGGTTTATGAAAATTAAATGAATGTGTGTGAATGCGTTTAGCAGAGTCCCTGGAGCACAATGTACAATTCATGTCAGTTACTTCTCTCCCAGCAATTTTATCCAGCAATCAAGGTCCTCTGTGAGGGTCAGCAGAACATGTGCAGGGATATATATACATTGGGTAGTCACAAGGATTGAGAGAACTTCTAGTATTTGGGAGGGGGAACAGTTAAAGGATACTAAATGTATTGTGACATATGTGACAGCGCTGTACAACATAAAGTGAATTGTCTTCTACACAGTCGTTTGCGTACACACGCACAAGTGCCGGTGGTGCCTCCCTTGGGAATAACTGCAGTTTTTCAAATCCTCATAAAACTAGTATCTTCCCACATCACACTTTTTCCTTACCTCTGAGATTCACTTGACTCTTGGTTCTTGTTATGTAAGTGTTTATCCTTTTGAGACAATCTACCTAAAGGTATAAAGCTTAACAATTACTTACTCTTTAATGATTGAGGGATCTTGCCACTATTACTATAAAATCTGCTAAGGCTGTGCAGCAGGATAAGACCAGACCTTTCCACAGTACCTGACCAGACATATTTCTGGCTTTGGAGAGAAATTAGTCATGTCCCTAACTATGGTTACTTTCAAATACTTCATTATGTTGCCTGATTTTATCTCTTAATAGCTGTGTGGCCACATACTTTTGCTAGGCCTCAGTTTCCTTATCTATGTGTAAAATGAAAATATCAATACATTAATCTGTCAGGATTATCTGTCATGAGGATTAAGTTCATCTTTTTAGATAATCTGTGTTTAGCTCAGTGCATGGGAAGTATTAAGTGCTTAATAAACATTAGTGGTTATTATGATGTGATTTCATTGTATGCTACTGTCTTCTAAGTTATATTTGTTATTGAATGAGGATGTCATATGCTCTGTAATTGAGAAGGACAAAAGCATTGGAAAAATGGACATTAGGTAACATACATACCTGTTTCATGTTAGCTTCAGTTTAATTTCATCTTATGTGTGGGTTTGAAATAATGAAATTAGTGAGGGAGTTTCTCTGGAAATTAGAAAAATAATTATGGTATTTTGTTTTAAATAATGATTCTAGGTCCTTAAATAGATTTCTCTTCCTCTATTCTGATATAAAAAGTCACATTCTTCTGAAATTTCTTTTTACATCATATTCTGTCAAGGCAGTCAATAAATTGCAGCAGTGAAAGTATAAGAATTGAATATGAATTTTAACAGCTTGTCCAAAATAATAGAAGAACCATAATCTGAACCTCAGACTCTGGCTTTGTCCAAAAATGTTAATTTTATTTCTTCCACTAATTTCATAAAGAGACAGAAATCACATAATGAATTAATAACAAGTTTCACTTTATATAAAATCATAAGCACCATTAATAGAATTAGTACTTACTCAATCTTATTCATTTTTTGTAATGATTTGTGACTCTTAAGTGGGGCATTACAATGATAGCTCTATCTTCCTCCATAAAGATGGAAAGTAACGACTTCTTAAATGAGAATTTATCCTATGCTCTTTTGTAATGATTAACTCCAAAGGATTTTAGTTGGACAATTCAAGTTCAGTGCAATTCTTTCAGTAAAACTTAAAAAATATATCTTAAAGTTTGTTTTGCAAAGACTAGTTGTCTAAGAGAACAAGGAGATAGGATACTTTTGGGATGTCATATAACGAGCATGTGAGAAACTGCTTGGGTACTGTCTCATGCTTCAGAGATCCAGCAAGAATTAAAGATTACAGAGGATTATACCTTGCACTGAAGTCTGAGACAAGTGTGGATTTGTCAAGTAATTCTTTTGTTAGATGGCCCTTAGGCCAATTCCCTGTTAAACCACAGTGTTTAAATCTCCTGTCTTTATCACCATCATTAAAAGTAAAGTTAGATACTACCTAATCATTTTCCTATTTGAAAAAGCTCATTTCTAGCCTGGGCAACATGGTGAAACCCTATCTCTACAAACAAAACAAAACAAAACAAAAATTAGCTGGGCGTGGTGGCATGCACCTGGAGGCTGAGGTAAGAGGATCACCTGAGCCTAGGAGGCAAAGGTTGCAGTGAGCTGTGATCATGCCACCATACTCCAGCCTCTACCCTACTCACTCAACAGAGTGAGACTCTGTCTCAAAAGAAAACCAAAAACTTATTTTCCCACATTTTAGAATAAGTAGGCTGGGCACAATGGCTTACACCGGTAATCCTAGCACTTTGGGAAGCCAAAGTCGGAGGATTGCTTGAGGCCAAGAGTCCAAGATCAACCTGGCCAATATAGCAAGACCCCATCTCTATTAAAACATAAATAGTATTTTTATAAATAAATGCTTATGCATATGTCTTAGAAGTTTGTTAGCCAAAGTAGGGCAAGGAAACGTTTTGTCTCAAGCTCAGAGTATAATAATTACCTTTAAGATACCCTCATATTTACTCTGCATTCAGATGTTGGTAAACTTGGAAATACTGAGTGCCTTTAGTTTGAAAAACTCAAGCTTTAGATTTAGTAAACACCAGAATCTATTAATTCACATTCAAAGAAGCCCACCTCACCTTAAGAGGCACCTGCCATTAAACAGTAGAATCAGCCTTTGTTAGCACTTGTCCAACAAAAATGGTTACTTACCTAGAGGAGATTGCCTTTCTGCGGATTTGGGTACTTAAGTGATGATCAATTTGTCTATGCTTCATTTCTCCTCGATTTAGAACTAAGGAGACAGACAAGGACAGGGAAATGGACAGACAGACCGATTGATTGATTGATTGATTGATTTGTTAATAATGGTATTTACTTAATTTCCCTTATTGGCTTTGGAAATCCAGTTCACCATCATATCATTGGGGCGTACTTCTGGCCACCTGTATTGCATTGCTTATGGATACTTGCTAGCCTTCCCTGTTCTTTCCCTCTTGACCACATAAATTACCAGTAGAAAATGTCCCCTAATACTGCTGATTCAGTTGTTTTGATCCTGTTTCCTTTGTATACATCATGTTCCTTCTCTCCCAGCAACAAAAGCCCTGCATGCCCTTGTTCCCTGACACTAGCAATGTTAAGTGCTA